GGGTGCCAATGGTGACGCCAGAGTCGGAGACGACCTTGGGCTCTGCGGCCGTGATGGTGCACTCGAAGGCTTTGGAGTCTGCGGGTGGTTGGGGTAACTGGTCAGCGCTGCGGCGTCGTAGCGGGTTGGAGCGGGGAAGACGGATGAGGAGGAGCTCTTTCCCTGGGAGATCTGGTTACTCACTCTCGTCCTTCTGGTCGTGAAGAGCGGCGGTCAGGGCCTCCATTGGGCCTGCCATGTCGAGAAGGTCAAAGTTGGGTTGCAGGGCGAACAGAACCTCAATGGGCTCGTCCGCCACTGCAGAGCTCTTGTTTGCCATCTTGCCGACTGTTTGGTGTGGTTCAAGGGGGAAAGATGAAGTAATACAGCTTGTAGTTGCTGTCGGAGTAACTGGAGCAATTGGAACCGAGAAGAAGAGTTCTCGGAGAAGGTCGTTGCTGGGAATTGGGGTGCGGGATGCTTGGATTGCGAAGCTTGTTGGGGACGATGGAAGATGAGAAGGAAGGAGAAGAAGACAGCTCAGAGCTATTTGGATGGAAAGAGGGAGGGGAAGGAAGTAATAAGGGTCGAGTCATCTGGACAAAGGAGGGGTTGGACCACCGCCCGATCTCTCTCTTTCTGCCTCTCTCTACCTGCTTTACCTGACTTCCAACTTGTCTACCTCCTCACGCGTCACCTGGAGGTGGACGTCCAGGTACCTCACCTCGCGGCATGTCCCTCCAGCGTCCCCCTTGGATCTGCGCAGCTGGCCCGGCTTCAAAGCACCCAAAGCAACCCCTCAGCTCAGGTCACTGTCCACCAGCGACTGATCAGGTGCGTTTCTGGACAAGGCCACAACCCACAACAGCTTCGAGTGGTCCAATGGCCCCACTGTCTCCCGTACGTTTTCTGGGGTCGGGTGCATCGGTGGCCCACGGTGCATGGCGCTCTTTCGCGGATTGCGGGGTTAGTCTACGAGCGTGCTCCCCGTGAGGTCACTGGCGGGTCCCGGTACATGCCTGCAGGGCAGCCGGGCCACCGAGATGCAAGTATCTCCACTTTGCAATTCTCATCGTCGCCCGCAGACTGTTGGACCCGTAGAAAGACTAAGCGAGACCAATCGAGTGCTGCGCAGCCCACGCTGCTTGGCCGGTGGCCGCCGTGGCCTGCCGCATAGTGGTCTTCCGTCAGGCCCCTCGCTCGTGCCCTGTAGTGTCCAATGACCCAATCTTGCCCCCTTCCCGGCCTTGCACGAGAGAGGGTCCCTGGCAAAGCTTGTACCTTGCATCAGCAGATTCCGTTGCCTGACAGTTGCATGATACCGACTTCCACCCGCGCCCGCAGACGGACCTTGCCTTGCCTTTTGTTACAGACCAAAACATCGCAAGGCTCGATGAAGACTTCCCGCTAACAAAATGGCGTCGTCAGCGTAGGTGGCCAGACTCTTTCGCCCGTCGCATTTCTCGCGTTCCTCTCAGCCTGCTACGATGCGTCAAGCGGTGCGCGATATTCAATCTCGCAGCATTCCAGCCTCCCGCACCTTCGCGATAAAGTACGCGGTTGACTAACACCACGCTACGTAGGTCACTCAAGGACCTGTCTAAAGCCCTGACGTCCTTCTTCGCCTCACCCTCGCTCCCACTGTCCGACGACGTCGCCAAGGTCATCGATGCCTACCTGAACAAGCACGAGAAGTACGATGATTCGAGCGCCGAAAGACTCCAGGATGAACTCCTCAGCATCTGGGACAAGCACGTCAGCGGTGCGCCGGCCAAATATGCCCCTTTCATCCACATCTTCCGCCTTCTGGTGCCTGCAATCCGCTCGCCAGCCCGTTTGTTCAAGTGGTGGGACATTCTCAACGACCCGGTCCTAGAGAATATCATTCGGGAGAAGGGCCTGATGGAAGAGTCGCACCTTACAACGCTAGAGGTTTTGATGCTGGAAACACCTGAAGTCGACGATCCGACTGCCGAACCCGTCGTTAACCCCTTCGCCAAGCGGCTGTTGTTGACATGGTTGGAGAAATACTACAAAGTCCAGTCTGACAGCGACTTGTCTGCGCAATCCAGCGAGCGCGCAATACGTCAGGCTTTGATCACATACGGCAAGAAAAAGCCCAGAGTAAGTCAACGCATATGCTAAGCGTGGTTATGACTGGTTGTCTAACGAGACGACAGGATTTCCTCGTCGCCTTGGATACTTGCTTCGTGCGGAGTGAATTCCGAGCCAGAATCGCCAAACTCCTTTGCGAATTCGTCCAAAATCAGCCACCACACCTACACCTGATACTACAGACACCGCTCTTCAACAACTTGCTGCGATGCTTACAGCAAGACACATCAGCAACCGTCATCTCCATGGCCATCACCGCCTTGATCATGATATTGCCACACATGCCAAGCTCCTTGGTGCCACATCTCCCGAATCTGTTCAACATATATGCACGGTTGCTATTCTGGGATAGCGAACGGACTGGGATTATCGAGGCCACATCAGATGAAAGCGAGCAGAAAAGCCTTGCGTCGCCCTCAGGGTGGGAGACCTGCCCCTATTCTCAGGAGACCGACGATATCGAGGTCCCTCACTTGGCCAACTACTTTACCATTCTCTACGGCTTGTATCCCATCAACTTCATGGACTACATTCGAAAGCCGCAGCGATATCTTCGGCATGCAAATGCGGCCAATCCGGACGAGCTTGAAGTCCAGCCAACCGAAATCCGGCACAAGTCCGAGCGCTACAGGCAAAGCCACCTTTTGCATCCGAACTTCTACACTCTCACGATCGACTCCGAAAAGACCGATTTTGGTCGTTGGATGACAAGTGAGCCTGCAGAAGTCGTGGCTGAGTGTATGGCGCTGCGCTTCTCCCCGGAAACCTTTGCGGCTGTTGATACGGGCCATGGTCAGGCCGCCGAGGGAGACAACTCCCTGCTCAGTGACGAATCAGATCGGGATGGGCTTGGGCCTGCTCTGCTCAGCGGTTCCAGTTTGGAACCTGGCGTAGAGAGCTGGAGGAGCACTCAAGATCCGGAACGGGACTCGCGAGCGAGCAGCCGCGTCCATTCGACCCGTCAACGTCAGAGCTCATTATCTGATCAACCTTCGCATAGGAACTCACTTGAGGTCCCCAAGGCTGATGTGGTCGCTGACAGCCCGACCCTTCCCCCACAACTCATTCCGTCGCCCTCCCACACACAGTTGCAAGACATGTTGCACTCAAACAAGGTCATCAAGTCGGGACTACATCAATCGCTGGCTAACGACAGTGTTCCATCACTCTCGTTGAGCCATCAGGAATCCGCGGCAGAGAAGTCCAGTAGCCACATGCCCCCTCCCCTGCCAGCTATGTCTGCGCCAACGTCTGTTTCCGATGGTCAATCTCAAATTGCGCATTTGCAGCGGCAGGTCCTTCTCCTGCACAATGACTTGAACTTTGAGAGGTATCTGAAGCAGCAACACATGGCGCATATCGGCGAGCTGCGCCGAAGACAGGTTCGGGAAGCTGCAAGTGAGGCTGAGACTCAGAATCTCATTCTGACCAACCGGACATTGAGAAAGCGGTTGGAAGATTCGAAGAAGGCCGAAATGCAGATCAGGAAGGAGTCGGAGAAGAGTCGTACCCTAGCAAAAAAGTGGGAGTCCGACTTGTCCGCAAAACTGAGAACTCTGCGTGAGGAATCGAGGAAGACCAAGACGGAAATTCAATCTCTGCAACAGGAGCTGCAGAGTGCAAGAGAAGAATGCGAGAAGTTGAAGAAGCTGGTGTGCGATGCCGAGGTCAAGGAGCTCAATTCGAAGCAGACCATGCAGTCCATCGAGATCAACGCTGCCGAGAACGATCGACTGAAGGCCGACGTGGAGCGACTGTCTATCTCGGAGAGAAATCTCCAAGCTAAGGAGGCAGAGAGACAGGCGGCGATCACGTCTGCGGCGGAAGCAGAGAACCGGGCAGAGATACTTGGTTTGAAACTTCAGGCGCGCGAGGAGGAGCTTCAGAAGACCAAGAAGCTCTTCCAGACCCAAATTGGTGTGCTGAACGCGAAGCTCCTCGAGGCACACGAGGGCATCCACAGCAGGCGAACCGCCGAGACCAAGGCCGCCGTCGAGAGTGCGCTTGTAGCAAGCCGTGCGAAGCAGGCTGAGCTGCAGAAGCAGTACACGAGTCTGATGAGGAAGTACACGGTTCTGCAGTCGCAGGTCGAGGAAAACCGATTCTCGGTCGGATCGTCCAACTCGCATGGTCGAGCTGACTTCGTCTTTCGCATGGACGGGGACGGGGAGGGTTCAACGCACTCAACCAGTCCCGTCACGACGCGAGGCAGTCACTCAGGCTTGCACAGGGTCTTGTCCGACCACGACTTCATCAACCCGACGTCGTACAACGCGACACCGCCCATCATGTCCAAGCCGGCGACCCCGGTGCCGGCGGGCTCGTCGCATCTTCCGCCAGTGCCGTCTAGCCCGCTGGACGCGGACGAAGGCGCAGCCGCCAGCCCAACGTCGGCGACGACGGACCCGAGATATTTCGGCAGAGGTGAGTCTGGAACGGCCCGGATTCGGTTTCGCGATGGGTTTTGGCGGATCAACTAATCAAGAGCCTCGGTTGTTTTCTTTTTCAGGCGGAGTTCAGAACCGACGGAAAGACGAAAAGGGGAAGAAGACGGGGGTGATTCGGGGTATCCGTGGATACATGTGAAGGAACAAAACGGCGGTGCATGTTGGATCGGTATCGTTTTTTCGAGTACGCGATGCAGCTCGTGGAGGAAAGATACCCAATGCCTGATGGTGCAACGTTTTTGCTGCACACATTGTCTCGCAGCTGTTGTAGAGGAGCAACATAGAGACCAGATTGACTGGTCATTGTTTGGAGAGGGCAAAACTGCAGCACGAAACAAACCTACATCTCTCTCCGTGCTCCGTCCTTGCTCGCTCTCATCTCTTGCAGACTCGCGACCCGCTCTCCATAGACCCTCATCTCGCGTCCATCGTCACCAACCAAACAACAAAAGCCTGCCCGGCTAGCTCAATCGGTAGAGCGTGAGACTCTTAATCTCAAGGTTGTGGGTTCGACCCGTAAGCGCACCTCTTCCCAGTGTTCATTGCACCTGAACATTGTCACTAACACCATAACAGCCACGTCGGGCTCAATTCCCGTCCGCGATTGAAGCGCACTTCTTTTTTTGCATTTCCCCGCTGTTTCTCAGATGCCGCTGCTCCTGATCTCTGAACGGTTTGGATACGCAAGCGTAGTGGAAAGAAACCCTTTGCGGCGTGATGTGCCGTTTTCCAGGGTTGTTGCTTGTTCCTTTGACGAGCTTCCTCTGCGGCGGATTCTGATATAGTCATCTTGGAAGTCATTCCGACTCTGATGGGAGGGCTGAGCCACGGACAAAGTGATGAAGCAGAGGTGGCACTACTGGTTGGTACTCGGAGGAGATTTCATGGGCTGAATGCCCACGTAGACTCTGAGCGTGTGTAATCCACGTGCTTGCAGTCGTGACGATGGACCTTGCAGTGGGCATGCAATCCGCAGCAAATGGCCCATGGACAATTTCGAGGTGATGCGTATCCAACGCGCGTCCTTTCTTTTTCTCGTTAACCTGAGTACGCGTGACGAAATACGCCCGAGGCAAGGAAGGGTCAAGCGGTACGCTGGTGATGTGTCCCGCCGTTGCCTGTGATACCGTACTCCTGCCGCAAGCTCTGGCAGAGTTCACGATGGAACCGGGTTCCTGTACCTTGGCAAGCCTACTATTTGGCAGCCAAAGCCTAACTCATCCGCAATGGTGGCGGCTCTTCCATCGTGTACCTGGTGCTTGGGGCTTGAAACACCACAAGCGCAGCACAAGGCCAGGCGCGCCACAAGAAACTGCCAACGGGAGCCGCGCAGCTCGGGGCCGAGGTCCAGGCTGGGAAGACCGCTCCATCCCTAGGTGCCCGAAGGCCCTGGAAGGTCACGCTCGAGGTAACAAGACTGGGGAGCCGTTGTCCCGTGGCGCTGTTGGTATTCTCTTCCCATTCCTCGCTCACCCCGTGGAGAAGACATCGTGGACGAGGAAGTACTGCGGAAGGAGATGGCATCTTGAGTGCTGTGCCTGCTTGATCTGACAAGGTCGTTCAGCAGCTAGCAGACGGTCAGCTGACCTTGTACCCAACCTGGCTTGACGTCGTTGAGGACAGGACGGTTAAGATGGTTCAACCGTACCACTTGGTGTTTGACCATCTTAGTAGACGGGACGAATATGCTTTCTTTCAGTAGTAGGGAAGCCTTCGGTCACGACGTCGAGAAGAGGCGTCGTCAGAACAGACAAGACAAACACGGACCAAACGCAATGCCAAACAGACTATGCCATGGTTCCTTTTTTATACGTTAGACTGTAAAAAACGCCCATCTCAGCGGCTCTCATGTACTCGTACATTTTCTTTCCGTCTTCTTCCCCGCGATCCAAGTCTATGTCTCACATCACTCAAATCTAGGCCAGTAAACCCTATGCTGTGTATGGGAAACGGGGCGCTCAACCGCCATCACGCAAGACCGAAGCCCCTCCCTCTCGCTCAACGCGTAAAAGTCCATGCCAAACCTGACACAGTGAGGAGCTCCTCGTCGCCCTCGCAGACGAGACCCGGCAGATACTGATCAAACTCATTCTAAGAGTCCTCGGTAGTCGCGGTGGCGGCGGCGTCAGCGGCGGGTTCGGGCACGTCGGCATCCATCTCCTCGGGCGTGGGGGCGTCCTCGATGTCGATGGCGTCCTTCTCCGCGACACCGGCGTCCTCCGTCTTGGCCTTGGCGGCCTCGTCAATCTGCCGCTGCTTCTGCAGGCTGTTGTTGATGAGCGGCGTCGTATCGTTGAAGATGCGCAGCAGCATGGCCGTGCGGTCCTCCTTGGGCAGCATGAGGTTGAGCGAATGGATGCTCTTCCACAGCGGCAGCGCCATACGCTCGCTGAAGGCGGGGTCCGAGCCGTCGGGCTCCACGCGAAGCACGCAGCAACCCATGCCGATGTCGCGGACGCGCGCGCCGATCTCGCCCATCTTCTCCCACTCGCCGTCGGCGATGCGCGGGAACATCTCGATCAGGAGGCGGCGGAGCGTCTCCTTCGACGTGAGGCGGACGACACGCTGCTCGCCGACGTAGCCCTGCAAGATCGGCATGCCTTCGGACTGGATGCGCCAGCGGCAGATCTCGGCAGAGGGGGCGTCCTGCTTCATGAACATCTTGACACCGCCGTGGATGACCTTGATGCCGCGGCCCTCGTTCTCGACAAGGATGTCACGCGCGAGAGCCGAGGTGTAGTAGATGGCCTTGGCGGGCTCGCCGGCGGCGTTGCGCACCATGAAGCGGTCCTCGGGGAAGCGCGACGAGATGTGGTAGAAGGTCTTGATGTTCTTAATGACCTCGTGCTTGGGGTCGAGGTACTTGAAGGGTTCCTCGACCTGGCCGTGGATGTTGCGGTTGGACCTCTTGGGCTTCTCTTGTGATGCCTCGAGCTTGGGCTTCTTGGTCTCTTGAGTCTCACCGTCAGCCGTCTCGTCCTCTCGCGGTCGCTTAACGCCGTTCGTGGCATCCTGCTCGGGCACCTCGGCCTCGGTCGTGGTCTTTTCCTCACTTTCTTCCTCGGGCTTGGCCTCGGCGGCCTCAGTAGCAACGGGGACCTCCTCCGGCTTCGCCTCGACCTTCTCTTCAGTCTTCTCCTCGAGCTTCGTCTCCGTGCCGTTTTCGGTTGCGGGGGTGGCAGCCGCGGTGGTTCCGTTCGACTTGGTCGCATCGTCAGCCTTCTGATCCTCGGGGCGGATCTTGACCTCGGCCTTCTTCTGTAGAACGGTGATGAAGAAGCCGCCAGTGTCCTGCTGGTGGGCGTAGACTCTCATGCAGCGCTCCAGAGGGAGGTCGGCGCACACGCTGCCCTCCAAAGGCGGGAACATGGTGTCGACAATTCTGCCAGGCGCAATGCCGTCGGTGCTGTTCTTGGTGTACTCATCGACCTCGGCCTGCGAGCCCCAGAGTCTACCAGACTTGTCCATGATCTGCCACTTGCGCATGCCCGGAGCACGGACGAGACCCTGCAGCTCGTTGCTGCAGTCGACAATCTCGACCTTGTCGGGACCGCCGGCACGGTCAATGGCGGCCGCGACAACAGACTCGTTCTCGACGGGGTTCATGCTGCACGTGGAGTAGACGACACGGCCTCCGACCTTGAGCATGGCAAGGGCGCGCAGGAGGATCCTGACCTGGGTAACGTGGAGACCCAGCGCGTTGCCAGGCTGCCAATCCTTCCACAGGTTCATGTTCTTTCTCAGCGTGCCATCACCCGAGCAGGGCACATCGGCGAGGATTCGGTCGAACTTGAGGTACTGGGGCTTGTTGGGGGTCGCCGGGTCGGAAGGGAGCTTGATGGCGGGGTACTGGGTGGCATCGTGGTTCGTGACGAGCAGGTTGGGGGATCCAAGGCGCTTGAGCTGGTGAACAAGCATGTGGCCGCGCTTGTAATCGGCGTCGTTGGCGATCAGAAGGCCGGTGGTGCGGCCAGCATCCGTCGGGTCGGCCTCGAGGTCGGCCTGGCGCTCCTCCTCCGTCTCCTCGCCGAGGTCAAGGCCGTCCTCCTTTGCGAACGCGCGCAGGACCTTTCTGACTCTGGCCTCCTCGCCCTGGTGGATCATCTCGAGAAGCTGGCCGGCCTTGCTGCCTGGCGCAGCGCACATGTCCAGCACCGTCATGCCGGGGCGGACGTCCATGAGGAGAGGGGGGATCATGCTGACAACTTCCTGCCTGCTGATGTTACCCACGGTCGTCTCGGAAACGAGGAACTTCTGGAAAGCGGCGAAGGGGGGGTATTTGCGGATGATGTTCTTCGGGGTGGTCATCCACCAAGCAAGCTCGTTGGGGTACCAGGACAGCGGCTTGGGAGGCTCCACGGTGCGTCCATCGGCGTGTTCAATCTTTTCGATCTCGGGCATGTATCGGCTTTGCAGAAGCTTCTTCACGGCCAAGGCGTGGCTGCAGAGAAGGAATCAGTCAGACGGCGCGAGTAGAACCACCGGTCGAGTCGGTGCGACCTACCCTTTGGAGCCGCAAAAGCGGAAGCTGTTGGGGAGGTCTCTGCGCAGCGCATCCCAGAAGGGGCCCTGCTCTTCCTCGGAGAGGCCGATGATGGTGTTGTAGTAGCGCTGGAGCCTCTCGTTCTCCTTCTTGACGGCAGGGTAAGACTGCCACGATTCGCTGCGAGGCTGGCGACCGCGATCACCGCCCGTCGCGTTGCCGCCGCCGCGGCCCTTGCCCTTCTTTCCACCCTAGCAAGATAGAAGTCAGCGCAAAACGACAGCAAAAACAGAACCGCGGAAAGACTTACTCTGAATTTGCGACCCATGGTGCAAGATAGTTCCGACGTGCGTGGGTGTGGTGGATGGCGCACGTGTGTGTGTCTTGTTTTAGAGGAGGAAGGGATTCAAAGCCGGATCCAGTCCTATCGGCGTTGAGTCGCGCGGTGTGAAATTTTGCCGTCACCCAGAAAAAAAAAGTTGGTGGTTTGAGCGCGGAATGCGCCAGCCTGTGGCCAGCCCCTCGATTGGAGATGATTGGCCAATCAGGCGCCGGTGTCGTTGGGTATCTTATCACCCCGCATCAGCACCCCTGTCTCTCAGGGTCCGCCCCGGCTTGCATCCGCTCGAGCCGCTGAGAATCGTCCCGCATTCAGAAAGCTCCTGCCGTCAACCTTCGTCTCAACCACGACGAAGCTTCGTAGATGCGCTCCTCGAAACTTGAGACAAACAACATGGGATGCCCTCGAGTGATTATACGGGTGCTCCGGAGGGGGGAAAGGCATTCGCGGAACTGATTACTCCACATAATTGAGCTTACGAAGTACAGGCTTCCAGACACCTTCCGTGTCCGTTCCCTCCGCAGCAGGCCGTGATAGCATAGAGCATGATCAGCTTGACAAAGTGGACTCTTGACGCCCTTTACGCACTGTACATGGTGCCGGTATCTCTCTCGCTGCTAATACCTCGAAAACGATTGGGCCCTCGTCCTTGGTGCGAACATTGCAGTGGATGCCGAGGCATAACAATTCCAAGGATAGGTTGCACTGCGGGGTTCCGCGGC